ACGGAGTCTGCGCGACCCGAATCTCCTCGACCATTCGGACCACTTCCCGCATGGTGGGCCTCTTATCTGGCTGGCCGACCACGCAGGCCATGGCCACATGCAAAACAGACACAAGCTCCTCCTCGATGTTCTTGTACCTCGATAGCTCCCCGTCGAAAACCTCCGCCGACCACTCCTCCTTCACCATCGACCGAACCCAACCGGGCAGGTCCGCCGCGGGGCCATCGGGCCCGCACGGGGCCCGGCCCGTCAACACCTCGAGCATCAACACCCCGAACGCGTACACGTCGGCCTCCCTCGTTAGGACATTGCTCATGGCCTGCTCGGGGGCCCGGTATCCTCCGAGCCCGGCAACCGCGCGGGCAGGGCTCTGGAATAGCGTCAGCCCGAAATCCGATACACGGGCCACCCCATCCTTGTCAAGCAAGACGTTGGACGACTTCACGGCCCCGTGTGGGGCCCACGGGCCCATGTGGTCGTCGTGGGCCCTGGCGACCCCCCGGGCTGCCCCAAGGATGAGGCCGATTCTCGTGGTCCAGTCGAGCGGGACTCTGCCGGGCCCTCTGTTTCCTGTTTTCCCATAAAACGCGAATAAATAAAAAGTGAATTTATTAAACAAAATTGCCCTAGTATCATTGCCTTTTTTTGAAATTGTAATTTAATCACGATCTTTTTCACTTTTGCAAATTATATCAAGATAACAATATCTAGTTTGTTGCAAATCGATGCAAGAGTTATGAAAACTAGTCTTAGAAAAAGCAAAAACAAACTAAAGATTATGATATATATAGTTTTTACATGTTTTTTAAATCGGTGCACCAATTTGGAACAAACTTAAGATTGTGGTATAATTTGAAAATGTCTTACTGAATTGCAATTTAAAAAAAAAAAGTCATGATATTAAGAGCAATTTTGTCAACTTATTTATCATTCTCCGGGGGCTAAAAAAATTTGAAATTTCGATCGTGTGTACCGTGAAGAAGTTCGTGCAAGCTGCCGTTGGGCATGTAATCGTAGACGAGTAGCTTCTCCTCCCTCGCGTAGTAATAAGCTCTCAACCTCACGATGTTCGGGTGCCTCATTTTCCCAATTAAATCCATACACCGCTCGAATTCCTTCCGCTCGAACGAGCTAATGTCCTTCAACCTCTTCACAGCCACAGTCCCACTGTTGCCCTCAAGCACGGCCTTATAAACCGTGCCCAAATTACCCTTCCCGAGCACCTCAGCCGATGCACGGAGCAAATCCTCGAGCTCAAACTGATTCTTGTCGTCGAGAAAGACGAGCCCATTTGTACGCGTGGGGCCTGTGCCGCCTTCGTTATTATCTATGAAGCCCTTGTGGCTCGAGTGGCTGCTTCGTTTTCCGCCCTCACTTGCCGCTAGCGAATTTGTCGAGTCGGTTTTGGTTTTCCAGCAGCAGCAGAGGAATACCGCGCACGACGAGAGCACGAGCAATAGAATCGAAATTAGAGTGATTAGGGATATTAGTGTTCTTTTGCTCATCTTATTGCGTTGATTTTCCGGTGGAGTTTTGGGATAGGTTGGATTCGAATTGGTGGAGGAAGAAGAGCAATTGGTGGAATTAAGGCAGAGAGCTTCATTGCCGGAAAAGCTGGTCTTGCCGAACTTTGTGAGTAGGGATTTTGATACGGAGCCGTTTAATTCGTTGTTCGAGAGGTTCAGATGGCGGAGATTTGGGAGTGAATCTAGGGATTTGGGGATTTCGCCGCTGATTTGGTTGTCCTGGAGATTGAGGGTGAGGAGGCGGGACAGGGCGGAGAGGTTTTGGGGGATGGGGCCGCGGAGGTTGTTGTTGGAGAGGTCGAGGCGGAGGAGGCGGCGTAGGGAGGGGAGGTCCGGCGGGATCTGGCCGGAGAAGTCGTTGCCGGAGAGGTAGGCGAGCTTGAGGTTGGTGCATTTGGTGAGGGGGGAGAGGTCGCCGGTGAGGCGGTTGTTGCGGAGGTCGAGGAGGCGGAGCTGGTCGATGGAGGAGAGAGCGGATATGGAGCCGCGGAGGGAGAGGGAGTGGAGAACGACGGCGGTGACGCGGCCGCGGGAGCAGCGGACGCCGGACCAGGCTGCGGCGCAGGCGGTGGGGGCGGCGGGGGTGGTGGTCCAGTTGGGGAGGAGGGCGCCGTGGGGGTCGGTCTGGGAGCGGAAGAGGGAGAGGGCGGCGGTGTCGTTGGCGGCGGAGGAGATGGACAGGGCGAGGAGGAGCGTGGCGGCGGAGAGGAGGAGAGAGGGGAAATGGAGTTCCATTTGTTGAAATGCTGCGGAAAAGCGGGAAAGTTTTCTCATATAAAGAAGGAGAGATTGTTACGGTCCCGTTACGGAACTAATTCGTTCGAGTTTGTAACCGTTAGATCAACTATCTTCGACGATTACACTATGATCTAACGGTTACAAAACTCGATGGAGTAGTTCCGTAACGTATCATTTCGTATAAAATAAGTTTTCTATTTTTTATTTATTTATTTATTTTTAAATATTAATTTAAGCAAAACCTTACCAATTAACCCTATCAAAAATAAATAAATAAATAAATAAATTATCTATCATAGGCACCAAATGGTTGAATTTTTCCTTTCATGTCTTCGTATAGAATGTCAACATTACATCACGACAACAATCTATATGTTCCAATAATCATATAGACTTATATTTTAATTATAAAAGATTAAAAGGAAATGACGCATGTATATTGTACTTTGACCATATGTGATGAATCCTAATTTAAAACCTTCTTAAAATCAAAATATTAGCAGATAAAATATGAACTGAAGAATCATAAAAGCATCTCCAAATTGATTTTTAAAAAATGTAATCGTTGGGTTATAATAAAATTTGTATAGAAATCAATGTATAAATTTAACATAATAAAGTGTGATGTCTAATTTTCAATTCTCCAAATTCAGTTAGAAACTATCTTATATGTTTTTTAAATGAGATGTATGTATTTTAAACTAAAGTGATGTAAATTGACATTTCATTTACTAATTTACATGGGTTAAAAATTTAGTGCCATCAAAAGTCTAGTAATAATTAAAATCCGCTAATCCATTGTTTTTCAACCCAAATTGGCCCGGCGGGTCGATACAGGACTCGGCCGACCCGAAACTGGAACCGGTCCGGATGGGATATTTGGATTGGGTAACAATGGACGTGGCCAAAACCCAGCAAACCCGATCGACTCGAGTCATTGACCGTCAGGATCAACCCGGTTGACCCAATCCCTATATATTTTTTATTTTTTTTAAATATTTTTTATATAAAAAACACTGTTCTAAAAATCGGCTTAGGCGGGCGCCTAGGCGCTAGGCGGTGTCCATGAGCCTCCAATTTGCACAAATCGGCAGAAAAAATCGGTCAGACGGCTATGCGGCCTTAGGCGCTCCTAGACGGACTTGGCGGGCTCGGCGGCCAGGCGGTTAGGCGACGTCTAGGTGGGCATAGGCGGACCTAGGCACTTCTAGGTGGGCTCGGCGATAATTTTTTAGTTTTTTTTTTAATTTTTTAAATAATAATTAAATTATTTTGTTCTCATATTTTTTAAAATATATTAATATTATTATTTAGATTTAGGTATGTCGATTTATTATAAGTTGAGATAGTTTTATTTTGTATGTAGTTAAAATAAATAAAAATTAATGTATTTAATATTGATTTCTAGCGATTTTTAGAACACTGATAAAAAAATAAAAAATAAGTAAATATAGTAATTATTTATTGTGACTTGTGAGATACAATTCTTTTAACATTTTGATGTACAAATTTTATGTATAAAGCATTTATTTTTGTTACTTTTATGTATATTTATATGTCAAAATACTATATATATAATTTTAAAATTAATTATTTGATTCAACAATTGACCCGGTGAACCGACGAGTGACCAGAAAACTTGTCCGGGTTAATTTGCGAGGCGGGTTTAGAAACTATGCGCCACTCACACCATATCATAAATATTTGATTGTTTTTCAAGGTTTCTATCATTCATAATCATTTCATTATTATTCATTACTAATTTTTTTTATTATATAATTATTTTTCAAGATTAATGAACATGAAATCACGCCCTTTCGCTGTAAAAGTGACGAAAATGAATACAGCTTTGTGTTTATTTGCTGTCAAATAATTAAACGACGAAGTTTGA